AAAAAGGTGATCTGCAGAAACTTTACGGATTCTTCGGAAACTATATAGACGGCTTTCTTCAGACACTATATAATCTTCGGAAACTGGACGGTTTTCTCCGGGAACTAGGCATGTACCGTAGCCGTCACAGCGTACGTCAATAAGCCCCCCCCCCCCCCCCCCCCCCCGTGCTCCATTCATGCAATCTGGAATGTGGAAGCTCCGAAGAATGCTTTCTGAAGCATGCGAAAAAGTTTCTGAAGTTCGCGAAATAGTTTCTGGAGAGTAGTCGCAGAAGAGTAATATTGCGAGCCTTTTGGTCCTCCGCTGAAGAGGGTCTGCGGTTTGTGCGCGTCATCCTTGTGCAGGTGGAGTGGACAGTTTCTCGCAATCCTCCTTGATACTTAGGGCTCAGTGTTCTCGTGCACTTTGTATCACTTCAACTTCAAAAGCTTAGGGCAGGGCTGTCCAGAAAGGAAAATGCTTCTCCATTTCATGAAAACCCTTGGGTCTTCTACATTCCTTTTCCCGATCTGGTTTCCCCACCACCTGACTTCGAGGGATTGCAAATGTCGTTTCGCCCTCAAACCTGACCTTCCAGCTGGTGAATTCAAATCTCCCAGCTCTCTGAAGGTAGCATTCAGGATCCATGCCTTCTTGGCATCATAGGTCATTGACCTGCTATTCAGCGCTCCCACTATCGTTCGCTCTTCACTTGGCTCACCAACTTGCATGCTCTCATCTTCATCAGCTTCACTCTCTGGTTCTCGAGGCTCTAGGAACTCCATCAAAACTGCCACAATCTCACGGTTGTCCAACTGCACCACTGCAGTCTCGCCTGGTTGGAGTTCTTCTCCTTGCATCGTAGCATCCTGCTCTTGATTTGGTGTATTCCTTGGGCTCGGGGTTTCGTCCTTCTTCTTCTCCAACTCGGTCAATAGGTAGGCCTTTGCCTCATCCTTGAGCTTCATGAAATCGAGCTTGCGATTGGACTTTTGGATGTAGTCCCAATGTTGCCACTCACCATCTTCAAACTCTTCCTCGTCAACATAGCCATTGGCCTTCACTAGACCACGATGGATCTTCTGGAACAAGCTTCCTAGCTGCTACTTCTTCCTTTCCCTCATGCTCAAAGGCGTCGATCATCATTCCATCAACACGTTGAGCTTCCTTCACTTCCACTAGCTCGTCGTTGATCTGCTTGATCTTCTGCCATAGCTTGTAGCTCACCCCAGCTGATCCAGCAATGATCATCACCAGGAAGATCATGACCACCCACATAGTCCATGATGTAGAAGTGCTCGTAGGTGTTGAACTCGCGATGGAGCATTGATCTGCTGGCTCAATCATCTCCCCAGCCACGTGCTCAAGACCCCCGAACAGCAAAATGCGATTGAGCAGTTTGGCTAGCTTGTTGATCTTTGACTTGCTCACTAGCTCGTTCTCATTTCTCTCACGCTCTTCTTGGCCAACTCGTTCTCCTTATCCATTGTAGACATTGCACCAATTGAGAATGAGGTTGATGCGACTCTTGGATAGTGGCTTGGTTCCCAAGTCAGCCACATTCTTGATCGTTCCCGCAGGCGTCACTTTCAGCTGCTCTTGGAGTACTGCATCCTGGATCCACAACAGCTTGCCAGACACACGCCTTAGCTTTCCTGGTCCTCTTCGATGCAGAGATGTAGAGCTGCTGAATTGTCCACCGTGCAGCAATGCTCAATCTCCTCTCCTGTTAGGAACTCGAGGCATCTTCGGAGATATATGCCGTCAGCTGCACTGCTCACAAGTGCATTCAGTTCTGCCTCCGCCGAACTCAAACTTACTGACTTTTGCCCCCGTGAGGATGTTGCCACCGCCACTCCATTGACCATATGAATTGCTGAGCTTGTCGAACGTCGATGTCCCTTTGCGCCTGAATGTCTCCAGAATCCACCTTGCTCCAAAGCTCTGATGCACCAGTCCATGTCCGGGTTCTTGAAGTTCCAACAAGCTATGCTGTCCCATTCTATGCTTCAAACACCCAATCAGTTTGCCTAACTTCTTCAAGCTTGCCGACGTGGGGCATGACATGGTTGCAGCTAGCTCCTTCACGGTGTACGAGACGTCCAACCTCTCCTGAGACAAACAGATCCCACAGCCAACCAAGGAGCGATAGAGACTTGCCAAGTCATATCTTGTACCATCTGGTTCTAAGATCTCTGCGCCGCGTGGAAGCTTCTGAAATTTCGTCTTGCCGAGCTTGCCCCCGTAGGCTTCAACCATGCTTTCAGCATACTTTCCAGGATGAACTCTCAGACCATTTTCCACCTTCTCGTAGGTCCTTCGCAAGAACTGGAAACTGCTGCCATCTTCTTTGAGATGGTGCTCAGAGATGTCGAAGGCCTTCTTCATCTCTGGTATGAACTCGGTCATGACATAGTCCATACTGCCGACAAACATGATGTCATCCACATGTATCAGCAAACACATCAAAGGAGCTCTGCCCAAGCATGGATTCTCTGGGCAGAATTGCAATCCCTTGCTCTTCAACCACTCCGTCAAATGGTCAAACCAAGCCTTTGCTCCAATCCGCTGGCCGGGAAGGTTTCTCAAGACCTCAAAATGTCCTGTCGCTGTGGTGACTTGTGTAGGGGCTTCTTGCTTCACCTGAAGAAAGGCATCCTTCACATCAAGGCTTCCCAGGATTGTCCTTTCTCCCCCAAGTTGCTCTTCTGACTTCTTCATGAGGTAGAGAACGGGCAACAAGCGCAATGCCTGTCCACCTGTAGCGCAGCACCGCCTTCAACGTGCGAACACATCCAGCTTCCACGAGGGTTCGGATACAACCCTTCACCACCAGTTGTTCTGAAACGTCAGCGGCGCTCGAACACTGCCATTGAACATGCAATGCTCCTTGGCGTCAATGGACCATCCTGCTCGAAGTAGGTGCCCAAATGACAAGATAGGCTGTGCCACCACATCACTGAAGGTGACACGTTCCTTCAAGATCACTTCTCTCTCACCCTCTGCCTGAAGAGTGATGCTCGCATCTCTGTGTCCAAACGTGTTGATGCGTGTGCCTTGGGCATCTTGCAACACCGGTCCACCACCTCGAATGCGCTCACCCTTCCTCAGCATGAAACCCGGGAATAGGGAGGCGTCAGCACCCGAATCCACGATGATGGTGACTTCTTCTCCATCACTCTCCTGGTCATCTCCCCCAATCTCCTGTCCAACCATCTTGATGGACAGGTTCTCTGAGAGGTCATACTTTGGGTCGTCGTCGACGTCCATTTTGTAGAACTCGACCTTCTTCTTTCTGTACTCAGAGCCCTCAGTGCACTCCATCACAACTCGAATTGAGCCTGTCTCCTGCTCCGCAATCTCTCTCAGATCGCAGACCACAGGCTGTGAAACACGACGAATCGTCTTGGTTGCGCTACTGTCTCCTCCGCTCGTGGTGCTCAACGTAGTCAACTGTCGAACTCCAGCAATCTTTGGAATGGTGGCGAGGGCGCCCACATGTCCAACAAGTGTCGCCAACTCCTTTGCCCTTGCCCTTTGGTTCTTTGCCACCTTTTCCTTTGCCTTCAGGCTAGCCACCACCAGGCTTTCCTTTGCCTTTGTCCTTCATCTTATGGTCTTTGCTCTTGCTCTTGCCTTGGCCATCTTTGCCACCTTTTCCCTTTCCCTTTTGCCTGCCATCACCTTTCTGCAACCGGTCAAGCTCCATGGGCGCTAGTCCACTAGGGTCAGCGCCTGACTGCATTGGGCTCATAGTTGAAGAGAAGCTCAAAGCGGCACTCTCATTCCACTTGGTGTTGGCTGTATCGAAGGCTAAGACCGCTTCCCTGATCTTTTGGTATGAGCTTCGTTCATTCAAGGTCATGTTCAAATGGATCTTGAGCGGTCCAGTGATCACTCTCAGCAAGACGGCCGAGCGAAGATCTGGAGTCAGCTTACCTCCAAGCATCTCGTACTGGTTGAAGTGTTCCTCCAACTTCAGGATCTGCGGGAGGATGCTGGTCTTCATGTTGAAGTTGAAGTTGGGATATGCCAAAATCCCTTGCAGCAAGCTCATCATCCTATTGCGAGCTTGGGGTTGACAGTTTACCAAGAGCTGCCTGAGAGCCTCATGGCCGTTGAAGTTGTCCACATTCTTGATCAGGCCGATCAACCTTCCTTGGATCAATGACCCCAACAAGGAATATAGGAAGCGGCTCCTTTGTTGTTCCTTGGTGTCCATGAGGTCCCAATTCGTTTCCACCGTCAGGTCCTTTTCAATCTTCTCCAGCTCTGGTTGAAACTCGCTGTCAACAACCACCAAATACTGCTTCAAACACCAGTACCAGTCTCTCCATTGCAGCATCTCTTGTTCCCTGTCCGAAGGATTGAATATACCTGGTCGAGGTATCAACTTCGCCAGGTCCTTCTTTACCATCACCAAACTCTCCCCACCAGCCTGTCCTGCTGATGAAGATGCCGTAGTTGCAGCTGTGGCCACCTGTACCGCCTGGGTGGCAGCATTGGCCGTGGCCATCAAAGCCTGGGCAAGCTCGGGGAAGCCAGTGAAATCCATCCCAGTTGATCCATCCATAGTTCGAACCTGCCCTCAACGGTCAGTCCAACCTTCTTGATGTCGTCCTCGTAGGATCTTCTCCTGAGACTTCAGCACCTCCTTGGGGCTCAGCAAAAGGGCAATCTTGTAGAGGATGGTGTTCTTCACTCTCGGTGGTCAAGTAGCCACAAGCAGCGATTGCGAGGTCGAGCAACACTAAAATGGGTGGCTAGGCGCGGGCGAGCGAGCAAGACCAGGGCGCGCAGGGGGGCTGAGGGTCCTGGCCCCAAAGGCTCCGGAGCTCCGGTCAAAGCACAAGGCAGTGACCTTCACAGCTCCGCTACCATGCGAGCCTTTTGATCCTCCGCTGAAGAGGGTCTGCGGTTTGTGCCTGTCATCCTTGTGCAGGTGGAGTGGACTGTTTCTCGCACTAAATAGTTGCGGAAGAAACGTTTCAGAAGAGTGAATTATTGCGGAGTAGGACTTTGTTCCTTGATTGAACTCGATGATTTTCGCACCTTTGCTTCTCAGCATCGTCAGTGAGTTGTGCCCTGGCCAAACAAGAACATGACAATCATACTAGCACCATTGCCCCTATATATAAAGCTCCAACTTTGTAAGGCACCGCCAATCATCCATCTTCCTCGACACCTGTGCATATATCACCTCCAGCTTCTCCTGACAACTTCGTACCAAAGGAGAAATAGCAGCAATACCCAGCAGCGGCGCAGTCTCCTCTGGATCTTCCACTCTCCTCAGGCGCTCAGGTCAGCATAAATCTATCCACATTCACAGCCATGTGAATGTCCTCACCTGTTCTCCACACTGGAGTCAAGAAAGTCAAGAGCTTCTTGCCTCATCAATCGTTCGGCTTCTTTGGGCTTGACCACAACTTAGGTCCCTTGGTCTAATGCGCATTGGTTTTGCGGAGGAGAGCCATAGGCATCAAGTTCCTTCACAAGAGTGATCCCGCGGGAGTGGGGTAGTGCTTAGTAGAAACTAGTACTAAGTAGCTTAGTAGTGGCAAGGACATTATATGAAGAGGGCGCTACTAGGGGCTCCTGGCCGTACTACTAGGAGCAAGGACGCTACTAGGGGCGGCAGAACGAGGGTTCTTCAAAGAAGCTCCTCCCTGACGGGAGGCGCAAGACATGCCTCTTCCTCATCATGTAGATGAACAGCTGACCAAAGGTCAAGCCTTTCCTGGGACAACAATTTTAGACGTCGTTTTTTGGTCAAGCCTTTCTGGGCTAGTACTCAGTACAAAAATAGCAACAATCCAAAGCTGGCCGGGAACACCAAACCTCTGGCACCTCCACCACCACAAAGGCTGCTTTGGACATTTCGCTGATGACGGCAGCAAGTGAAGGCTGAAACCTACACGATCGCTTCAAATGACACGCTGCAACCTACGCCACCAAATTGTGCTGTGTCCGGCACATGACGTTTGCCATCAAGCAGGTCACCAAATTTGAGCTGAACCTCACCCAGGAATCTTTGCAAGCACATGAGCATGCCCCTGCCACACAAGGCATGGTAGCAGCACTAAAAAGGAGGACACCAAGGATTGCACAAAACACTGCTTGCAAAGCGGTGTTGCAGAATTATCTGCTGCATCTCTTCTACCTTGTCGGACTCTCTTTGACAGAAACCATGTCTTGCAACAAGTTCTTCGAATAATGCTACTAGGCTTGGTAGCCTTCAGCACCTCTCTTATCTCACCAGGAGTCTCAAACAATAGTCCTCGGCCTTAGAGGCCTTAGTCCTCAGATCTATGGATCCGGTCTTTGGGTAGTAAAGTCCTAAAGGGACTATAAAGAAACAAAACAAAGAAACAAGAAAAGTAAAGGTATAACACCTCCCCTTTAAATGAGCCTTACCTTTCATAGTTCATTTCTTGTTTCTTCCTCTAGGACTCCACTATGCAAAGATCTCAATGCCCTTAACAATAAGAAGTCAGCCGTATGGATCTCCATGGCCTCTACTCGCTTTGGCTGCCCTCCTTCGTCGTCATCATCTTCTCGTGTCTGGCATCAAAATCTGGTCTTTCACCATCTTCGCTTCGTGAAACGACAATGTGACAATGAGTTCTGCCAAGTTGTGTGTCAGGAGGATATGAACATTTTCAGCCAAGACAACACGAGTAGAGCGCATAATGGAAAAACAAGCTGAAGCAATCAGACATGTTTCAATTACCTCACTTATATAGCCACCTTGGACTCGAGCATCTCGAGGAGACCCTGAAATCATCAAACGGCGCTTGCTCTGCATCTCTGTAGAGTGAAGGTGTGGAGTGTCCTTGCTCTTTTTGGCTTCGGCGGACTCGGTGAGGAGTTCGGTGTTGTCCTTGCTTCCACAAGCGATCAAGCTGAGAAGAGCTGCTTGCGCAGCCAGCCTCCATGTGAAGGTGCAAAATCACAGGAGTCCGAACGGCGCCTTCATCCAAGCGAGGACACTGAGATGATTTTTGTCGCAAGGCTTAACACTTTGCAGTGAATATGAGTCAGCCTGAGTCACGCAACAAGGACTCCATCAAGCGTTGTGCAAACACGGCCTGAATCACATGTTCAGCACCACCTCTGATCCAGGCTTCTTAGTAAGCCCTCTATGTACATATTCACCAAAGGTGGACTAGAACTCAATCCAAACATCTTCTATAGTCATCATCAAAACCACCATCTGATAACCCATTCGCAATAATTACTTCCATTCAGGTGATATTTCTTTGCACACATGACTCCAGGTTGAAGCTTGCCTGCGAATCGATCAAGGGAGCATCCGTGCACCGGCTCACATCCTTCTGGTAAATCACTATTGATTTGGCCTCAAGCGAATGATCAAGTCTACACCGGCTATCCAAAGAACGATAACGATTGCCTGCAAGAAACCAGCCCTTTCCAGGGTAGAAGGAGAGTATGGTACCCTGCGCAAATGTCGGAAAACTGAAAACGGACCCTTCACTGCATTTTGTTTGTTGTACATAGAGGTTCCAGAAGAAATTGTTCTAGGATGTTCTAGGTAAACACATATCCTTTCTGCAGGACAAATTCGATATTTCGGTTGAATTTCTTTCTGTTTGAGATAAGGCTCGCACCCCAAGACCAGGAAAACGAAAGGCTCGTTCGCGACCCGTCCCCAGTCATACGGAACCTGCCCGTTACACCATTGCTATGTCCCAACTCACAAATTCTTTTGTAAATGTAAGGCTCGTGCCCGCTCGGACACCACCACAAGAGGACGCCTCTTCTTTTGACACCTGCAATGCAAAAGCGACGACGTCAAGTTGTCAAATCTTGGGATGTGATGATGTAGAACCCTCGGTCCGTGATTGTCACGTACAACTCACCCGTTTGGACCAGTCCTTGGTCATCTGATGGGGGTTGTTCAAAATACAATTTCCCGAAAACTATCCTTGCGCCGGCCATCTTGCGCGGATCTTGCGCGAACACAGTAAAACTACAGTTTCTGTTCAAATGAGTTTTCGTTTGCCTGTTTTCATGGGTGAGTTCCGTGGGTGTGTATGTGTATGTGCAAACCGCTATCACAAGCGGAGAGTTTAAAATCACATGCGGAGAATTTAAAACAGCGGAGAGTTTGAAACAGCTGGCTCAGAGAAGTCGCATTCGGGCTTGCGCGGAGCTTGCGCCGAGCTTGCGCGGAATGTTGATCCTGTATTGGCCACATTCCGAAGGAGTTACCTTAAGACGTGTATTGTGGAGACAAGAAGCATTCTGAAGCATACTTAAAACTTAAACCGGTTAAGACCTCACACGTTTCAGTTTCACTCCACAAAGCACAAGCTAGCTAGTAAAAACAGTTTTCGTAGAAATTCGTGTAACCAGTAACTAGCCCTTGCGCAAAACCTTGCGCCGGCCTTGCGCGATGCAGGTTTTAGACTACCTACTATCAATGAAAAACGTCGTGCAACTAAATTCTGCTATGTGGGTTTTAGAACGACTGAGGTCTAATGACACAAGTTCTGGGTTCCAAATGTCAGGGGCGAACTGAACAAATGTTCACTGCTGTCATGAACCAACTTTTGCCCTGTGGAGCCGTCCCAACAGTGTTCGTAGCCTCATCGACCGCAGGAATGTCTTCAAGGACAGCATCCTCACAATCCAGCTAAACGCAAGACGACGCAACAAAGAAGTACAAGCTGATGTAAACTATAGACGTCTTTTCTTGAAGACTTGATGCACCTTTGTGCAACCGATGCAAGCTCCCCATCGGAGATGACCTGTCCTTCCAGGCCGCAGCGGCTTTCGCTTCCCAGTTGCCAAGGAGTCCTCCTCGACATCAGCTTCATCCTGCTTGGACGTGTTTTTGTCTTTTCAGAAACAAACCAAACACGTGTATGATTCAAACATCGAAGAAAAATTATGGACAAGTCTGTTGTGTTGGCTCGTACACATGGCGGAACGTTGCAAACCCATGCAAACCCTACTCTGTCGTGTGGGTGCTTGCACGAGGGGGAGGAAAGGGGCACAGAACAGAAAAGTATCAACAACTTGCAATTTCCAAAGACAAGTATGGTCTGAAAGTGATGTACAAAAAGCGACTTTGACCTACTTTGACAGCATGTTCTGTGCAACATCGATGTTCGCTGCAGCCGGAAGTGCTGACGCAAAGTCGTTCACGGGCACACAGAAGAGCAAAGGTTCCGCCGCGCCATGGGTTATTTCGCAACTACATCCACATGCTTTGCGAATCTACCCGAGCACCAGCTTTATGGAATGTAATTTGATCAAACACATTTTATGGTATTGACCTTGCAAGGTTTGATGTAATAGAAAGGACACGCGTAATTATGTTCTCTTCATTGAGCGCAATCGGCTGCTTGTTGCTTCACAGTCTGGTGGCAAACTTCTGACAAATATGTTTTCAGGCAGGACTTAACCCCCGCGGGCACGGTGCTGCAATGGAAAATAGCTTTCCTTTTGCTGTTTCGCATCTGTCGCCCTGGACATGACTGTATTGCAAGTTTACATAAACAACCCCGAATGACATCTAAGCATAGCATCGCATCCCAACACATTACAGCAGCCATGACATTTTTGAGCCACATCACATCACATGTTACAAATGCCCAATAGACACATCAAGTCCCCAAGCATCACAATCTCAAACAACGCACACACATACACATGTTGGGCTAGTGACATCAAAAACATCATCAAACAACAACACTTCTATAGATGTTATAGTTCTTTTTTTCTGCCCTCCACCCCTGGGATCTCCAGGTAGTGTCATAACATCAAGTGTGCCAATCCTCAAACGGAGAGTCGGCCAGTATCTAAGCTCAGAATTAGGACGAAATCGCATAGCAAAATTGTGTAGTGGCAACTTTTCATATCTTGCTCACTCTTCCCTTCGGGCTGGTGACCTGTATGCAATTGCTGTGTCGCCCAAGCTTCATGTAGGTACAAGTTCTCAGATGTTTTAGCTGATGCTTCCCTTTGGTTTGTGCTGCCTGTGAAATGTAAGACTCAATTCATGACTGTCTCAGGAATGAAGGCACTTGCCTGCGACCCATGATGTCAATGACTGTTGCCATCCCCTTCCCTGTTCGGCATCTGACATATGATGACGCAGCAAGCTTGGATTATGAACAAAATAGCTATAGGGCAAAAATGGGCAAAACAAGTCGAAACTTTTAGCAGGCATAGGCAAGGCTTTTGACCCTCTTGCACCAAACCAAACATTGATGAATGGGGTGGTTTGATTTGTGTGCCGGCCCTTGCAAGAGCTTGTCAGTACAAACCTGCATGCATGATGCATGAGCCACGGCTCACACTGCACAGCGCCACCCAGTGATATTTGCTGGTCCAGGATGCATTCGCATCTAGTTGGCATGGCTTTGTTTCTAACTCTATGTCTATGTGTGCTTGTAGTTTGCAGGCCTCTGGGAGGTCGCTCTCCAGGCTCATTAAAATAACATGGTCTCCACGAACCTGCGGCTTTGTTGACTTAATGATGCAAAACGTCCAAGGCCTTGTATGTGATGAAGTTGCGGTCATCTTATCTAAGCATTGAACAAGCAGCTCGTCTGGGGGGCTCCTTGGACAATCATGGACCAAAATTAGCCATGCTTGCCAGTGCTCGCTCAAAAGTCTTTTTTACAAACCCAGTCTCCTTAGCATTGGCCCAGACTGTCTCTGCGGGAGGAACAGGTGCCCCCCAAAGCATTTCATCCTGTGCATTCAAGACAAGCAACATCAAATAGCACTCTTCTAGACTTAATAAATAAGGAGATGCGATCCCGGAGATCAGCCCGGACACGAATCGAATAACGCCCGCCGGAAAAAGGGGAAGGTGCAAGGTGGAGGGGGGCAGGATACATTGAAGTTGGACACCAAATAGAGATTTGAGAAGTTGCTTTGACATCTGCATTTTTCAATGTATGTCGAGGGCAACAAAAGTTATATTATACCAGCGTAGATCTCAAACAGTTTCTGCATTTATGATGTAAGCCACAGAGACGAACTGTCAAACATTCAACGGCTCGAACCGTTCCAGCTCGTGGTGATCAACTCGGACCTTCTGCGCTTGTTCCAGCGGACGCAGGGACCAGCTGATTAGGTATTTGCTTTTTTTTGGTTCGTGAATCAGTTATTTATTGATGCATTAATTATTGTTCTTATTGGTTAACTAATGTTTATTCATTGATATTAATTGTATATTTTTTGATCCCTATGCACCGGAAACAGAATTCCAAACACTGAAAGCTGAAAAACACATCCGGAAAGAGAAGAACCGGACAAGGTGGGCACCGCGAACACCGAAGCCGAATCCGGAAGAAACAAAGCCCAAACAATGGCGCAAACATGCCAAAGCCAAGCCAGCCAAACCAATCCAACCTAAGCACGCCAAAGCCAAGCCAAAGCTAGGCCAGTCAAACCCAATCGATTTCGGAAAAGGAAGTATGCAGCTGTGCGTGTGACATTTAGCATCCATCAGCCCGTATGCTACTGATTTCGAGGTAATTCGAAGTATTCAAAAGGTACGGCATCTGGTCCTCTCTCTGCACTATGGGGTCTGGCATGCGCTTGCGGTAGAGAACCTGACAAACATAGCTTAACTATCGGCGCAAGCTTCACTAATGGAAGCATTCCTGTGATATCAAACTCGGCGATCTCTTCTGCTGGCCTCCTCGAAGTGGTTGATCTGCACAAGTGCCATCCGGATACCTCACGATGGTGGAAGGAATTGATTGGTCAAAGAGTGTTTCGGTGTCTACTTGGCTCCTGGCTTTCATTCTCTCCATAAAGGATATCGTCTGCTGCCTCGAGTAAACAGTGCGAGCGCTTCCTTGAAGAAGCGTGAGCTATCCTGCGTCCATACTAGTAGCTTAATTAAGTAAGGTACTAGCTACCTCTTCTACTAGCTACCTACCTAGCTAACCCACCTCACCTCCTACGGCGTACCCCCCCAGCTATACAAAAGGAAGGTCTGGGCCAATTCACTTCAGCATCCATCTGGTCTTTCTCATCGAGGATTTGTTGCTTTGCCTCCGCAGCTGGATTGGATGGATTCCATGTAGTTGCAACGCAGCCGCAGCACCCTCTCCTCCATCCGCCTTTCCAACAAAGCCCTCTCAAATGGATCCTGTACTTTGGCAATCTAGAAAGAGCAATTTCAACAATCGAAGGTGTTCCGCAACTTCTGTCTCCTGCATGACTTCGGAAGTGGGATCTTCCATGATATCCTCCAACTCATCGCCTTGGGTCGCCCACGCCCTTTCTTGCTCCTAGTAGCGTTCTTGCTCCTAGTAGCGATGCCAGGAGCCCCTAGTAGCGTTCTTGCTCCTAGTAGTAAAGAACGAATGACTCATGCTGAATTTGAGCCTCGCACGAGTATCAAAAAAGTCATCATTGCTCTCATCCAGGTAATTCTAGCGTGACTTGTTCAATTCACCAAAATCATCCAACTGCACTAATCAAAAATGAATTGCATGGGCCTCCACCTCAACACGGCTTAGTTTGCCACGATGCACCAAGCCTCTGCAAAACCAACATTGAAACATCTTGTAAGTAGTACTCACGCTGTGCAAAGCCGAACATATGCCAGAACGTCTGATGTCTTGGTGGGTTACTGCACACAACCCTACGAGACCGAGAAGAAACAGCCGTTTGTTCAACAGTGGATACTGTGGCAAAAAGCCACCAACGGTGTCCCACTGATTGCCTAGAGCTGCACGACGTTTTGCAGCGGCGTCAAGCTTTTCATGCAAGTATGCCTGCCATATTCAGCTGTTGTTACATTCCAGTGAAGGCCCACGAAGATAGCAACTTCTTTGCAATACTCAATACTCTCCTGCTTGTCACTCTGTTCTGTGAAGTGATCTCGAACCTCAGGCCCCGCCGCTGTAACAGTGTGGCTTGGACCAATCAGCGGGAGTGATATGCCGTGAGCTGTGGCCACGGCCCAACCCTCTTTGTCTGTGGAGGCTTTCATGGTTGAGAGTCGAGGATTTGCCTCAAAACAATACAAGGCTGAAGGCACCAGAGTCCCTGCTACTTATTGATTTCCCATGGTTTGGTCTCTGAAGTGTCATCTTGGAAGTGCACCTGCACCTGCCCAGAGCCTGTTGCCCAAGACTCTGGTGACCTCATCAATCCAGGCCAAGCACACATCCCAGCTGCTCTGCACAAAAGGGTTTCACAAGTTGAATGAGCTCAAACAATGTTCACAAGTTGAAGAGCTTTGGCGTTGGATTGACTTGCTCGTTTAGAGTTTAGAACTGACAATAGTTTGACCTGGGCACAGGCCATTTAATAGCTCTACCTGGCAGGGCCTGTCTGATGTCCTGCACACAAAAAGCAAGTCGACCATAAGCCCTCAAGATTCTCCAAAGAAGGCAACAAAGTGATTTCAAGACCACATGCGAGGCCTCCCTCTTCTTTGCCATAACTATGCCCTGGCGAAAACAGCTAAGCATCCTTTTTGGTCATCTTCGGAATGGCTTGATTGAGCAGCTCCCAGTCCTTGACATCTCTATCTTGCTGAAGGCCCACACGGTAGTACTTGTTGGGAAAAAGGACCTTTTGCGCAAACTAAGTCATCAATGTTCCTTCTTTACTTCAAAGCTTTAAACCAACCAAATCATCTAGGTGCGAGGCGTATTCTGTCTTGTCTGCGGGGAAAAGGGCTTCCTGTGCCCATCAATCATGAGAGCAAAGCAAAGCAAAGCAAAAGAGGAAAAGTCCTCTGCCAGTCCAATCAGGTAAGCTCGAAAACCGCTCCTGCAATGCAGCAGAATCGAATAAGAAATGTATGGCCCTTTGCTCCTAGTAGCTTCTTGTTCCTAGTAGTAAGGCCAGGAACCCCTGAGTCCTGAGATTATCTTGAGTTAAATATTCACCTCGCGAGTTGGAATGCTTTGTCTTATGTTCAAATCATGGAGACAACAATTGCCATATCAGTATCACCTAGGGCGCAGGTTTTCGTTGTATTCCTTATTGGTCATGTTCCATAACCGTTTTGTCAGGTCATTCGCCTTACATAGACAACAACGCTGGAGTACCGAACCTGTCCCTACAAGCTAGGCAAACCATCACACCTCACCAGTGCACATTGAGATCGAGCGTCCTGTCACAAATATCCGCTGCGACTTCACAGAAAGGTACAGTCTTGTATGAAGAAGCCAAATCAACCTGACGAGTTCACAAAAGAGTCAGGTAGAACATGTGGAGCGTCGTGGATGAATAAAAATAGTAATCATTTGAGACATTTTCTCGCTGTTTCTTCTTTGGCACAGAAGTTGAGCGAACGCACACGCCCACCTCGAAAATGGTCATGGCCAAGCTAGAGGCATAGTCTTCTGCCCATGAATGACCCTGCAAAAAATCACCCAGTCATCGCATACTTTCAACTGGCGGGGTGAATGTTCGATCTCAGCCTTCTTGGTGATCTCTGCGTTGGACAGCATTTTGGAGGTCTCGCAACATTAGATGAACATGTTTTCTTATTTGCTGTTTCACATATCCAAATGCGAAGCTCTTTAAGGAGGGGTTACTACTTTAAGATGGCTCCCAATATTGCGCAACTCCTGCCTTGAGCAGGCTGGCAGCAAGGGTAAGGTATCCTTGCACCTCCAGTACAGTGTCGTGGCAGGGCATGTTTAGATGCTGCTCCCCAAAAATTTTCGCAAGAGGCCAGCAGCAGCCTTAGGCAGACTTAAAGCTTGAAACTGCGGACACTTTTCAATCCACTGAAAGCCTGCGGTACAGTTCTCGATATGTGCGTGTCATCTTGTGACATGTGAACACAGCTCAAACTTCGCACTCCTCCTTCGGTGCGTGAGCTTAGTTGTCGGGATTGCGCACCGACCTAATGCTTTGGAAATTGTGGGCAGTCCAAGTAAGGATAGTGACGGTCCATATCCTTATAAATCTTCAACTTGAGTCCGCTATCCTCCCTCTGGTTTGCTGCCCACCATTTGCTCTCCAACCTTTCAACCTTTGAAGGTGTTGTCGAGCTCTCAAACATGCACGGACCTTGGGTTTGTCCAGATCCTCAAGCATTCTAAATCACCTTCCGAAATCCTGGCTGTTGTAGCCTGGTTCATAGTAGGGTCAATTTGCCCTCTGGATGCTGGTGCACTCTCACTTCCAGCTTCTGGCATTGCCATGTCGACATCTTCCTCCACATCTTCTTCACTTTCTGGCACTTTCTTCCTCATAGTACGCGTGGATTTGTGCGTCCAGGCGTCTGTAGTCGAAGTCTCTCTGTTGCTCTTCTGCGCGTAGTCCCAGTAGAGCCAGTCACCTGGCTCCACTTCATCCGCATCCACATACCCTGAGGCTTTGATCAGCCCTCTATGAATGCGTTGAGCATATTGCCTCACCATTTGAACTTGTTCTTGGGATTCATGACCATAAGCTCCAATCATCATCCCATCGACTTTCTGGCCCTCCTTGATCTCAATGATCTCATCTTCAACCATCAACAAACGTCGCCACAATTTGTAAATCACACCACATAGTACCACAACCACAACGCAAAGGAACAATGTCAAAATGAACAACCAGCCTGTTTCTGATCCAGCTTGTAAATTCACTTCTGCTTCAACTCGTTCCCCAGCCACTTGCTCAAGGCTTCCAAGAACTATGATTCGGTGTAGAAACTTTGCCAACCGCTGAATCTTTCCTCGGCTGATGGTCTCCTCCTGAAATCGCTCATGTTCCTCTTCTCCCAAGCGATGGCCTTGTCCATCATAGTTGTGGCACCAATGTAAAATCAAGTTGATTCTTGCCCTTGTCAATGGCTTGGTTCCAAGGTCTGCCACATTATATGCCACGCCAACTGCCTTGACGTTCAGCTCCTTTTGCGCGACTCGATCTTGGATCCATAGCAGCTTTCCGTCAATGTGACATAGCTTTCCTGGGCCTCGTTTGTGGCTCAACTGGCTTGCTGCTGAATTGTCAACCAGACAATCATGGACGATCTCCTCCTCAACCAAGAGCTCCAGGCATCTTCTTATGTAGATCCCATCAGCAGCTGCTGCAACGAGGGCATTCAATTCGGCCTCTGCTGAACTTAAACTCACCGATTTCTGTCCTCTTGAACTTGTCAGGACAACCATTCCATTGACCATATGGATAGCCGATGATGTGGATCTCCTGTGGCTCTTCGATCCCGACCAATCGCTCCAGCGTGTCTTGTCGGATCTTGTCTTATGACGTAAAATAGCAGATAAGACAGGGGCCTCTTAAGCTCGCTTAAAGCTCGCCCAAAACTCGTTTTCAAACTCGCTCAAAACTCGCTTGTGCTGTGCTGATGTCCAATGGAAGCCCAAGAGTCAACAGGAAAGTCCAAAGAAAAAGTTCAAGCAAAACTCAGGGAAAGTCCAATTAAAGCTCGCGCAAAAGTCGTTTCCCGTGGCGTGAGCGTCGTGGTGAGTTCGGTGCTAGTTTATTTCGAGCTAAGCTCGCAGAAAGCTCGTGAAAAGCTCGTGCGCATTCAGTTTTTGAGCTTCGATTTGAGCTTTTGTCTAGTTTTCTTCTACCAAAGCTCGTCAAAAGCTCGTCAAAAGCTCGCGCAAAGCTCGCCCAAAACTCGCTGAGCGGGCGCTTCCCTGGTTTCCCTAGCTCCTTGAGTTTCGCTTGAGCTTTCCTTTGAACCTGTGAGTTTTGCTTGGACTTTGCCTTGAACTTTTGAGTTTTGCTTGGACTTGCCTGGTGAGAGGTGAGTTTTGGTTGGACTTTTGAAGTGAGTTTGGACTTTTTTTATTTTATTTTTAAGTTATAGACCCCCTTGTCTTATCTAGCTATTTTACATCATAAATCTTGTCGCCAATCCCCAACCTGGTTCAGGGATCTCCACAATGGTGCGCTGTCCCAATGTCCCTTTGAGATAGCCTATGAGTCTGCCCAGTTTCCTCATGCTTCTGGTGGTAGGATTTGCCATAGCGCCCGCCAACTCTTTGATCGTGAAGGCAACATCAGGCCTCTCCTGGGACAAATAGATTCCACATCCAACTATTGACCGGTATAGACTTGCTAAGTCCGGGTTCAGGTAGGTCGCGCCGTCCTGCTCAAGCATATCTTGTGTGCAGGGTAGCTTTTGTACCTTCACCTTGTCCATGACCTTCTCGTATGCTTCAATCATCGTTTCAGCATACTTTCCTGGTAGGATCTTCAGGCCATTCTCAGTCTTCTCATAGGTTCTGCGAAGGAACTGGAATGTACTGCCTGGCGTGGTCAAGTACTGAACCGAGATCTCAAAACTCTTCCTCATGGCCGGGAGCAACTCTTCCTCAATGTACTGCTGTTCTCCTGCAAACAGGATGTCATCTACGTGTATAAGCAGTAATGCCTTGTGTTCCAACTTGCCTAAGCATGGATTGATGTCTGCAAACTTGAAGTTCTTCTCCTTCAACCAATTTGTCAAATGGTTGAACCATGCTTTGGCCCCAATGCGTTGCCCTGGTAGGTTTCTCCGTACCTCAAAATGTCCTCCTGCTGTTGTCACCTGCGTCGGTTCCTCTTGCGGCGCTTGCAAGAAGGCGCCCTTGACATCGAGAGCACCCAGGATGAATTTAGGGCCTCCAGCTTCTTCTTCTAACTTTCTCATCAAATACACTGCTGGAATCAATCTCAATGTCTGTCCACCAGTTGCAGGACTGTGCGCATCGTCTCTCTTCGTGTTGGCGTACTCTCTGGCCACCAATCTTGGGCGATCCAGCTTTGGCAGGATTGGGCTTCACTCGCCAATCTCTCACAAAGCGAGTTGTCAGAACCTTGTAGCCATCTCGGAGTTGCTCCAATGGAGAAAGCACTCCAAGTCTCTTCAGTCTCCACTCCTCTACCGCGTCAGCCAAATCATCAATCCACTTTGGGGGATCAGGCGGCACTCTGTCCAGGGGTGCATCTGACCATAATGCTTCCGGAACATCATGCTTTGCCTCCTCTGCCGTGGATTCCGTCTCGTGCTCGTAGGACCACAAATCTTCCTGGCCCACCACCTTGTCCAGATGGTGAAAAATGTCATCTCCCACCTGAGTCAACTCTAACCTCCTCTCTGTAGTATCACTCGACTTCAATCTTTTCGACTCAGGGGATTCAGCTATAAGCTCATGAGGTGGCTTGACTGTAGTTGGTTTGAGCTTCTTGACATCTGACTCTGAACTCCGGCTCGCCAGCGGTGTCTTCTGTGCTGCCGGTCTTGGAGTCGAAGGTCCGGCTTGGTTCCTGGCCTCATCGATCTGGCCTGGATCAACTTGCACTGGGACTAGCTCAGGGATCGGCTCCTCCTCATATGGAAGCTTCTTATCCTCTCGCAGTCTCTCCTCTTCTGTGAGTTGCTTGCCATACTCTTGGGGTATCTCTGGAACTTGGTCCTTGCTGTCGACGGCCTTCTGCTTCTCCATCAAGTCTCTAGCCTCCTCCAGCTTCCCGGCATAGGTCCGGCCAAAGGCTATCGCGTCCCTTGCGTCCTGGTCATCAATTGCAACTTCAGCAAATGGAAGCTTGGGCTGGCCCCCCAACCATGGAAGCTAGTCGCTTTGAAGGAACTATTCTGCCCCCGAAGTTCTGTTGGTATTCCCAAGAATACCCTGTGAAGGACTGGAAGCATGCGAGATATTCCTTGTGCAGATTCTCCACGCGTCTCAATGACCTGCTCAGAAACACTCTGTTGCCATCTCCAACAATTCAATTGTCCTGCAGCTTTGTCTTAAATTCCCACTTTCCATCGAGGATCAGCTTTAAAGCCTTGTTTCGGTTTTGTGTAGGCAAATCACACCTCTCCATAGGGGCTGACTTTCCCCTCATAGGCTTTGCCATGCACCAACTCATGGCTTGTCGCGCCCCTTCCTGCTTGGAATTTGTTGAGCAACCAGGCACTGTGTCTGCAGGCCCAAGTCCACAAAGGGTGCTGACTGCTGAACCGGAGTCCAATACGCCCTGCAAGATCCTCCATCAATGTAGCAGCTAAACTCCTGATCCTTTGGATGGAATTCTCAACCAAGCTGTTTCCTGCAGAATCGTACATCTTCGTTGTCCTCATCGTAGTCCTTAAGCCGATTGCACTCCTTGCTGCCACCAAAAGTCGCAGAATCTGCCTCAATGTCGGCTCGTTGTCTGCATAGTACTGCACTTCCCCATGGCCTAGGACTTTTGTGAATGCCATCAACTCATGCGTAATCAAGCTCATCTGATTCTTGGACTTCAGCGGTAAGGCCATTAGGTTGATCTTGCAGCACGTGGACAGGCCTTTGATGGTAGAGTACCAGTTGAACGGCAATGGCAAAAGTTCCCACAGAGGAGGAGAAGCGGAAACACCTCCTGACACACCTACCCTATGCAGGATGGTGCCCATCATGCGTGAAGCGCAGGGCTAAGCAAGACCAGCATCACCGTACCGGCAAAGCGCATGAGCAAGGAGTTCCGACCATTTCCTTCGATTTCTGCAAAGTTAGAGCTAGTGGGTCAGGAGCACTCGGAGAGGCGGAGAGTGACGAAGCCCAAGCTGGAGTTGCAGAGGAGGGAGGAGCCTTGCTACTGGTAGCAGTTTGCTCAGAAACAGCAATCCCAATCTCATGGTGAACTCGTTGGTCATCAAGATCCGCTCCACCACTCTCTTCTGGGTTCACTGGGAACTCCTCAAAATCCTCATCTGTACTGGCCTTTGGAATGGCCAGGTCATCAAACACCTCTGGTCGACGCTGAAGGACTGCGTAGCTCTCCTCAAGCTCAAAGCCAAAGTTCTCTGGCGCATTGCCCTCGTCAGCCACAAAAGTCATTACTTTTCCCTGCTCGCGTCCGCGGAGTTCCTCAATCTCTTCCTCCTGATCAAGAAGCTTCATCAGGGGTTCAGCCATCTCAACCAACTCCCATTGGTCCTCTTTCTTCACCAATGTCGACCTGCGCGTGGTCTCTCTTTGATTGCGAAGCTCTGGAATGAACTGGGGACTCTGATACCTGCTGCTGTGGTGCTCCCAACCAAAATCCGTCCATCTTCTTCCAGCCAAAACATCTTCAGCTGCTTTACTGAGCTCCTCACTCAGCTTCACCGCCAGCATGCGAACTTTGCCTGGTTCAAGGGCCACTCAAATTGATCCCCGCACGACCAAGCTCTGGTTCTGCGGCGCTTCAACCTCACCCATTCTTGAGACACTCCTCAGTCCCGTCGATGGACCATCCGGCTCTCATGAGTCGGCCAAAGGACAGTATCGGCTGCTTCACCACATCACAAAAGGTGTCTGACCCTTTCTTTCAAAATCACCCTTCTTCCATCTCGGCTGACCAACACAATGTCCACACATAGGTCTTGATCTGCGACCCTTGAGCATCTTGGAGGTACGGTGAAGTACCTGCCACCTGCTTTCCTTTGCCTAGCAGATGTCCTGGAAACAATGAGGCGTCAGCCCCAGAGTCAACGATGATAGGGACCATTGTGTCAGTTTCCTCCTCACTCTTCCATTTCTCCTGTTCACTCCCTTCTCTCGCGGTGTTCACCATCATGGCCTCACCCTCAAACTCCTCGTCGATGTCCATGTGAAAGAACTCCACTTCTGCTGCTGCTTGCCGAGTACTCTGCAATGCAACCACCATACGAATTGAACCACTCTCCTCTTCATCTTCATCTCAAAGGTCGAAGATCAGTGGCTGTGACACTCGACGGACTGTCTTCATGCCCGTTGTTTGAGTTTCTGCACCACCTGATGTGCTTGTGGCTGTGGTAGACAATGATGTAGTCTGTCCTGAGCTGGCAATGCTGGCGGCAGGGGGTGCTTCAATTTGGCGCGCTCGCCAACAATCCTTCGAATGATGTCCCATTTTCCCGCACGTCCAGCATAGATCACCGCCAACTCCCTTTCCTTTGCCCTGTTTCGGCTCCTTGCCCTTGCCTTTACCATCTTTTGCACTGCCCTTGAGGTTCTTGGACTTCCCTTTGCCTTTATCATCTTTGGATTTGCCCTTGCCCTTCTGGTCCTTGCCTTTGCTCTTGCCTTTCTCCCCATCTCCTTTCTGCTGGAGGCGATCTATTTCCATGGGCATAGGTCCACCCGTGTCAACTGCCTGCGCGATTGGGCTCGGACTCATGAAAGACAACGCAGCTGACTCGTTCCACTTTGTTGTAGCTGTATCAAAAAGCAAGGATGGCCTCACGGATCTTCTGGTAGGAGCTTCCCTCGTTCAGGGTCAAGTTCAAATGAAACTTCATCTGACCTCCAACAGCTCTCAACAGAACTGCCGATTTCATATCTGCTGGCAGTTTGCTTCCGCTCAACCGCTCGTACTGCAAGAAGTGCTCCCCCAACTTCAGGATCTGTGGAAGCAATGAACCTTTCACGTTGAAGGAGGGATACGACATGACTCCCTGAAGCTCATCGCGCGGTTCCTTGCTTGTGGTTGGCAGTTCAAAAGCAACTGTCTCAATGCTTCACAGCCGTTGAAATGCTCCACATGCTTCACAATGCCAACTAGGCGTCCTTGGATGAGACCTCCCAGCAAGCTATACAAAAAGCGGCTTCGATCTTGTTCAGCCCTGCCCATGAGATCCCAATCAGCCTCCGTGGTCATTTGGGCTTCTATCTGTTCAATCTCCTTCTGGAACTCCCGGTCCACGACCACCAGGTACTGTTGAAGAGTCCAGTACCAATCCTTCCACTGTACAACCTCAGCTCAGTGACACCTCCTCCAGCCAGGGCAAAAGCCTCAGCTCCAGATCCATCCATGGAGCTCCAACTCCCAATACTCATACTCTTTCCAACCTCAACTTCAAAAGCTTTATTCTCTTCAAGGTCGTAGGACCTTCAGGCGCTCCTCTAGGGTCAGGGCAATCACAATGAAGTGGGCAGAGGGGTTATCGATGGTGTTCGCGATCAGCTTCTTCAAGAAACCTCTTGCTCTGATTGCCACGCTAGTTAATTATATGGGTGGCTAGGCGCGGGCGCGTGCTAAGACAGGGGCCCGTGGATGGGGGTTGGGTCCTGCCCCCGTCCGCCGGAGCTCAAGCCAAATCCGGAGAAGTGGCTATCCTCGCCGCTACCATCCGGACACTTTTCAATCCACTGAAAGCCTGCGTTACAGTTCTCGATATGTGCGTGTCATCTTGTGACATGTGAACACAGCTCAAACTTCGCAGAAACACATTTTGGTACTGGGACGTTCTTTGGGAAACACATACACAAAAAACGCGAGGTCATACACCGCTTGAAAAGCACCTCAGCAGCCTTCCCCAAGATGCCCTGGATGACGTCGTCGAAGCAAATCACGTCTTGAGGTGGCTGCGCGGGCACAGCAGGAATGAACATGCAAAATATAGAGTAAAAAACAAGGTATATATAATATACGTATAATTGCTGTCATGTTGAAGTCTAAATGAACACCATGACATGGTGAAAAAACATCTGGTTAAGAATCAGCAGCAAGGGCGCACCACACCGACTGACATCAACCCTTCCACTGAATGAGCCTGTCAAGATGCATGGATTCGTGCAAACTGGTGAAACTTGACGTGCTTGATTCCAACTCTGCAATAACTTTGTTGACCGCAAACACACTCAGATTCCAACAACTTCGCTCATTTTTGAGCAGGAGGACCAACAGTTAGTTTTCAGTTATCATAGCAACATCTCGAATCAAGTGGAAGCCGAACCTTCATGACCATACAAAGCAAATGCACATAGGATGTGTGCCTTGAAAGCATATATGAGATCATCAAATCTGAGATTTGACAATTGAAACCTTTTATGTTCTCCTTGTTATTTTGCCAGATTCAAGAAACAATTTTGAACGGTCTGTATTAAAACGCAAACCAGGCGGTTGCTCTAAATGTATTTTGCTATATCAACATTCCTTGGGCATCCTTGCGTGCCACTTCTAGCTTTCTGCTCGCGCAAAACCACTTGGGTGTTGCTGTGGAAAGTCTGGCCAAGCAGCGCCAAATCTCAGTGAATTCCTGGTCGTGTTTCTCACTCCTCATACTCCCCTATAAACACCATGTTTAGCTTAAAAAGTAAACAAAGGACTCTGGGGGCAACTTTTGCTATAGGTTGACCAACTTGACATTTGGCCACCAGATCCCACTGCGAACTGACGACGCGCGCACACATGCACATTTGGGATATTGCGTGCGGTAGTGATTGGCGGTTGGCCACTTGCCGACCTAAGTAAAAACCTAAGATAGCAGGAAAAACCAAGAAGAGTACGCGTAAGGCCATCGCGTCTAAGTGGGAGGGCGTCGCTGCGGGTTGGAGGCGCTCGTTAGTAGGTTAGTTGCAAGAAGACAAGGCAGTGGTTGAAAATCACATCACAACAAAACAGCGGCTGAACATCATATATTACAGCCGGATAAAAGCGCAGGTACAAGAGTTGGCGTCCCAACTCTCTTCCAACTGATTTCCATACCTTCGTTGGGCACGGATAGGACATCAGTCTCTGTGCGCCCTGCAGAAAAACCAAAAGGTTCCCTTTGATTCCAAGGCTTTCACAGTTTCACGCGCACAAACACACACTTATGGATATGCGTACTGACTCGACAGCGGTGCCACACGCCGGCCTGAGTGAAAAAGCTAAGGAACCAGGACAGGTGTCAGTAAGTGGAGGCCCTTACTGCAAGGTTGGAGGCCAGCAAGACTCAAAACACGAAAAGCGAGTAGCGATTAGTAACAGAACCACATGAACCACCATGAAAGCAAACCATTCGACAACAACAGGTAACCAGTTTGGCAGGTACGTTTGCGCGGACCCCAGAGGAGGTCTTCGTTGGCCACCGCTCCTCTGGGGCCCCGGTGGCCCCCTGCTCAAAAATGAAAACTGAAAACGGAGTCAAAAGTACAATCCAAACGGATCCCTGTGACTACAAGGGGCACACGCGCACGCCTCCCCAAAGGGAGGCACATTTTGCTAAGCGCCAAGCCGGAAGGTTAGGTGAGACTAATTAAATTGTCGAAGTGCTCGGTAGGTCTGATAGGCCGTCAGAGGGAGTCGTAGTTGGCGAACGAACGAACGAACAGTAAAGCTGTCATAGTCCGGTGTGGAGGTAATCGTAGTCGAAGAAGATGGAGGACGGGGTGGAGGACGGGGTGGGGGAATACGATGATCTCGAAAGGAAGTGGCACCACATAGTTCAGCCTCCAATTGGTTGGTGTCGGAGTTCAAAGTGTGAATCAATCCAAATGTAGTTATCAACTCATGGGTGTAATGAAGAGCGGTGTGGGTGGCTTGGGTCGCTTGCCGAATTGCAGAATCAAGTCCTCGAAGTTGTATCTGAAGATGAGGAGAAGTAACACGCTCCATGTAGGATTCGAACGAACGAACGAGTGCGAAGAAGGGTAAGGGTGAGGTCCAGAAAGGCATGTGCACGAAGAATCTCTCGATGTAGTATTGCCTGAGGCATCGTCGGGATGCCCTCCATCGGCGCCAGGCCAGCGGGCGAGGGAGACATGGCAGGAAAAGGAGGGAAAAGGAGGGAAGGTGCTCATCGCTCTGAAATGCTAAGTCGCCGACAGGTTCCAATGAACCTTGCTTTGACCGCTATGGTCACCTTGTGCCCTGCCGAAATGGCTGGCTGCTTTGACCGCTGCGGTCACGTAAAGGCATGCGCCAACTTAGAATTCCAAAAATGAGACAAACATCCCACTTCTTGTGGCGTAAGCCATCTGCTGTCCGCTTCGGACACTTACATCTCCGGGCAGGGGAGATAACGACAAACCCCCGTTCGACGGGTCTACGGGAGGCACTCTGCGGGCTCATCCCGGGTTGGCACGAGGCCAAACGCACTTATGGATATGCGTACTGACTCGAAAGCGGCGCCACGCGCCCGCCTGAGTGAAAAACCTAAGGAACCAGGACAGGTGTCAGTAAGTGGAGGCCCTTACTGCAAGGTTGGAGGCCAGCAAGAGTCAAAACACGAAAAGCAAGTAGCGATTAGTAACAGAACCGCATGAACCACCATGAAAGCAAACCACAGCGAGAACAACAGGTAACCAGTTTGGCAGGTACGTTTGCACGGACCCCAGAGGAGGTCTTCGTTGGCCACCGCTCCTCTGGGGCCCCGGTGGCCCCCTGCTCAAACATGAAAACTGAAAACGGAGTCAAAAGTACAATCCAAACGGATCCCTGTGACAACAAGGGGCACACACACACACGCCTCCCCAAAGGGAGGCACATTTTGCTAAGCGCCAAGCCGGAAGGTTAGGTGAGACTAATTAAATTGTCGAAGTGCTCGGTAGGTCTGATAGGCCGTCAGAGGGAGTCGTAGTTGGCGAACGAACGAACGAACAGTAAAGCTGTCATAGTCCGGTGTGGAGGTCGTAGTCGAAGAAGATGGAGGACGGGGTGGAGGACGGGGTGGGGGAATACGATGATCTCGAAAGGAAGTGGTACCACATAGTTCAGCCTCCAATTGGTTGGTGTCGGAGTTCAAAGTGTGAATCAATCCAAATGTAGTTATCAACTCATGGGTGTAATGAAGAGCGGTGTGTGGCTTGGGTCGCTTGCCGAATTGCAGAATCAAGTCCTCGAAGTTGTATCTGAAGATGAGGAGAAGTAACACGCTCCATGTAGGGAGGGGAAAGGATTGCGATTCGAACGAACGAACGAACGATCGAACGAGTGCGAAGAAGGGTAAGGGTGAGGTCCAGAAAGGCATGTACCAACGAAGACCTCCTCTGGGGTCCGTGCAAACGTACCTGCCAAACTGGTTACCTGTTGTTCTCGCTGTGGTTTGCTTTCATGGTGGTTCATGTGGTTCTGTTACTAATCGCTACTCGCTTTTCGTGTTTTGAGTCTTGCTGGCCACCAACCTTGCAGTAAGGGCCTCCACTTACTGACACCTGTCCTGGTCCCTTAGGTTTTTCACTCAGGCCGGCGTGTGGCACCGCTGTCGAGTCAGTACGCATATCCATAAGTGTGTTTGGCCTCGCGCCAACCCGGGATGAGCCCGCAGAGTGCCTCCCGTAGACCCGTCGAACGGGGGTTTGTCGTTATCTCCCCTGCCCGGAGATGTAAGTGTCCGAAGCGGACAGCAGATGGCTTACGCCACAAGAAGTGGGATGTTTGTCTCATTTTTGGAATTCTAAGTTGGCACATGCCTTTACGTGACCGCAGCGGTCAAAGCAGCCAGCCATTTTGGCAGGGCACAAGGTGACCATAGCGGTCAAAGCAAGTTTAAGGTTATTGGAACCTGCCAGCGACTTAGCATTTCAGAGCGATGAGCACCTTCCCTCCTTTTCCTGCCATGTCTCCCTCAAGAGAGGCAACTTTTTGGATAACATTTTGGTCCAGACTGCCCCTGGTGAAAACAAAAGGTTGCCTTTGACTCCAGGCTTTCACACACACACACACACACGCCCCTTGTTTGGGGAGCAAAGGCTGAGGTTCTGACAAGCGAACATGTGTGCGAATACAGGAGACAAACAGACGAAGACATGAGAAGAAGACGAGACAAGAGGAGTGTGTGTGGTTGCGATGAAGGGGATCCAAGTGCACAGGGACGAACCATTCTGAAGCCTTCATTAAATGTATAGATGTGCGCGTGCACGCTAAGGGCCGGACCGGTGCGTGCGCAAAAGAAGGAACGGAGTGAGATGACAGGACATGAAGGCGGAGAAGACATGAAGCGGAAAAGGAAATCAGAAGTGTGTGTGAAGGGGGGAGGATGAAAGGGGAACCAAATGGAGGGGGCGGAAAACAACGAAGCCAAGCCTCATTAAAGCGGATCTAGGTAAATCGGTATGTACAAGCTGTGTAAGCCACGGCCGCTGCGGGCTACTCTTGGCGTTCAGCCTGCTCTTGTCCGCTGCGGACCACCAGTGGCATGCCAAAGTGGCGTCCTGCTCAAGCTCCATCAGAGCCGTCAGGTCTTAATCTAACCTTTGGCATAAGCCTCCCACGCTCGCTGATAGCCACTCTCATCCCGGCGCAGGGACATAGACAAACCGACAAGCCCTTGCTCAGCAAGGCCCCAGGGGGCACTCATTGGGTACACCCTGGGCTGGCTGGAAGCCAGCGCAGGGACATAGACAAACCGACAAGCCCTTGCTCAGCAAGGCCACAGGGGGCACTCATTGGGTACACCCTGGGCTGGCTGGAAGCCAGACACACTTGGGATGTTGCGTGCGGTATTGATTGGCGGTTGGCCACTCGCCGACCTAAGTAACAACCTACGAGAACAGGTAAAAGCAAGAAGGGTAGGTTAGAGGCCGTCGTATCTATGTTGGAGGCCATCGTGTCTAAGTGGGAGGGCATCGCTACGGGTTGGAGGCCATCGTTAGTAGGTTGGTTGCAAGTAGACAAGACAGTGGTTGAA